TAATGTCTACAAGAAAAGTACACATTATAATATGGCACTGTTTCAAGATAATCATTTTGTCATTGCCTTTTGTCTAAGAATCTCTCCTTCCTTCTCTCTTACTTGTTTTAATCCACTGGGAACAAATGTGTATTTCAATCTTTATTAATGTCACTGTCCATGTATGAGTTTACGTTCGTCTGAAGTGAAGTCCAGTAGGTCCACAACCTCTGAGCTATTGACTGGGAAGGAAAGAAAAGGGCAAAAATGAATAAAAAATCCATTAATGCAAAATACAACAAGAAACAAATAAAATGCAATAATTGTGACCTTTTTGGTTTAGTGACAGCCTCATTCTCATTTATCACTTCATCCTGGCTAGCCATCTTCCTCTTCTCCACCATTATAGCTCCTCAGTGTCAATAGTGTCCTGTAGTATCTTCTGTAGGACTGTTGTCTCATCATTCTCAAACTTTTGAACTCTAAACTCTGTCATCTACAAAAAAGAGAACAACAAAATTAAGAAATGCAATATTTTTGAGACCATTTCGACCTAAAAAAACATGTCCACCACTCTACCATCAAGCAGGAGAAAAGAGCAATCATATGCTCCTTGGCTTCCAGACTGTTGCTCTAAAATTTGACAAAAAAACCTGTACAACAGTACAGGGTATTCTGTCAAAATGTCTAGGAGAGAATTCTCAATTTTTATTTTTATCTGAATCATATAAATGTGCTTATCTTGCATCGAAAGTGTAAGCTGATTAAAATCAAAATTAAATTTTTTATAAAATTTTAAAATTGCTCAAAAATCAGACAACAGGGTCATTAGCCAAATTTTGTCAGTTGTGTATAAAATTTGGAGCTGCTTCCAATCAAAATTAAATTTTTAAGTAGCTCTAAAAGCCATAAAAGTACTTGTTGTGAGCTCATGAAATAAGTTTTAAGTACACTTTACATGCTTTACATGCTTTGAGGGAAACATGTATTATAGTGATTCGTATATTAATGTGAATGAATTCTTACAAAATTCGAGTTGGCAAATTGGGTATAGATCAAAATATATGTAATTCATTGTAACTAAGTAGTGTTCATTCTCACCTAAAAATGGTGCACTTTATGGGCATCCAATCAATCTCAGTATGCTATGAGGTAGGATGACTGAAGGATCTGAAAAGACAATAGAATAAAATACCGGGAGAGGCAAATCATAGGCGTAGGCAGGGTCGGGCATATAGGGGCAATGCCCGACCTGACTCTGTGAGCTGACCTGTGGACAAGGGCAGAAGCTTGGGCAAGACTGAGTGTGTCATTGTGTGTGAGACTGTCAGACTATCATTACCACAGGTGTAATTGGACACTGGAACTATACTGTCAGTCTGTGACTGTCACTTAGCCTAAGGAGTGAGGAAGAAGCTGAGAGAGCCAGA